GCAAGTAGAGCAGAATGAGGTGAGAGCCAATGGAGGGCCAAGTACAGGTTGTTGAAGGCCATTGTAAGGATTTTGGTTTCACTCTAAAAGAAGTGGGAAGCCATTGAAGGATTTTGGAGCAGAGGGGTGATGTGATTTGACCTACATCATAATAGTATCATTCTGACTGCTGAATTATGTGTGGACAAGGTGGAATCAGGAAGAATCAAAGAGAGAATTGGTAAATTTTTGCAATAACAGTGACACACAGGGCAGTTGATATCAGGGAGGTGGTGAGGAGTGTTTGAATTCTGTATATGTTTTAAGGTAGAACCAAAAGATTTCCTGCCAGACCTCAAGTGGAACATGAGAAAGAAAGGAATCAAAATCTGTGGCTCAGTGACTTTCTTTCTTTCGAGAGAGTGAGAAGGAGTGGAGGGGCAGAGGGAGAGGGAGAGAGAATCTCAAGCAGACTCCCCACTGAGCATGGAGCCAGATGTGGGGATTGATCTCAAGACCCTGAGATCATGACCTGAGCCAAAATCAAGAGTCTGGTGCTTAACTGACTGGACCACCCAGGCACCCCCTGTGACTTTCATTTCTAGAAATAGTATGTCAGGAAGTGTATTCAGATTCACTTCTTTCCTATTAGGTCAGATCCAAAGTCCTTTTTTTTTTTTTTAAGATTCCATTTATTTGACAGAGAGAGAGAGCAAGAGTGAGAGAGCACAATTAGGGAGAGCTGCAGAGGGAGAGGGAGAAACAGGCTCCCCACCAAACAGGGAGCTGGATGTGGGGCTCGATACCAGCACCCTGGGATCATGATCCAAGCCAAAGGCAGACGCTCAGCCAACTGAGACACCCAGGCACACCAGATCCAAAGTTCTTAATTAGGTCATCTCACATGTTTAAAAATATTGTCCACGGTAATAATAATAATAATACTCTACAACCTATTAAGTGTTGAGTCCTTTAATCCAACTATCTCATGAGGCAGGTATTATTTTTCCACTATTTATACATGCATGAACAAAGACAAGATTAATAACTGACAGCTTCCCTAATTTTTATACTCACTTCCAACTTAGGACCAACCAGTAAAGCCCAAATATGCACCCCTAACCATTATGTGGGATGCCCCCTTCTAGTTAGCGCACCTACATTTCCCTCATGCCAATAGCCTTCAATCAGGACATACCTAAGTCTTCCTCTTTTTTCACTGTAAAGCTTTCCCACTCTTTTGCCTTTCTTGAGTCTCTGTTAAGATATAAGTCATGGTGGCTGACTTCCTTGCTATAGCAAGTTTGAAATAACTAGTCTTTGGGTGTTCTCATTTGGTTTTCTTCATTCATTTCTACAGGTGTCTTAGGTCAGGTTCCCTGGGAAATGGACTTTGAAGTCCAGACTCAAGTATAGATTTATTGGGGACACCCCCCCCCATGAAGGGAATGATGGGGACAAGATGGGGCAGACAGAGAAGCTGAACTGTGACACAGTTGCACTAGAGCTTTAACCAATCTCATGGGGAACTCTGGGTCAGGTTGGCCCTTTAGAAATGTACCCAGACCTGGATCAGTTGTTGGACGCAGGGTACCCTTGGGAAAGGAGAGGAACTTAGGCAAAGGAGACCTCTTTGACCAAAGGCAAGTCCAAGGGGAGATTCTAGCTTTAAACTCTCAGCAGCCAACACTCTGGGCAGCTGGGGAACAAGTGCTTGGATCACCTTCAGGGCGGGGAAGGGTGGAGAGTAGATGATCCTACCAAACACACAGTTGGCAGCACATCATGACTCTAACGTAAACTTTGAATCCAAGTTTAAAGCTCCTTTCACTACAGTATAGCTGTTTTCACTTAAAAAAAAGTGACAAATAGAGATTTTGTGACCATTTATTTTCTGTCCTCCTAATCCAAAACCAAGACCATATTTGTAAAATGATTCTGACATTTTTAGTAAGTGATTGTGTGCATAGTGGTTGACTCAATTGAATATGGTATTTAAAAGATCTGAAATAAAACCCAACCAACCAAAGCAGTTAACTGAATTACCACATATAGACATTTATATCATCTTAATATTATGGTACTTTACCAAATGTTTCCCTCTCTTAGTAGAGTAGAACATTGTGACCTCCAGCTTTCCAGCTTGAGATGTTGGCAAATTGAAAATAAATTGATGAGAAAATAGTACCATTCCCACTTTAAGGCTATACATGCCCTAGTGAAAATTATTCCATCTTAGTTTAGATATTAATAAAACATATCTTAGAAGTTAATATTAATTTTATCCTTAAAAGAATCTAGTTCCCTACCTTATTTTCATCACTAGTGTTATATGATTATTGTAGGACTTTTAGGTTTACTTGAGCTAATTAAACTCAATACTTCTTCTTTTGGTTTTATAAACAAAGCCGCTGATACTGGAATTTTCCTGAAGATTATCAAAAACATATGCCAAGTTCTGTCTACAATTAGTCTGAATAGTCCCTTTAATATTTGTAAATAAATCTAAAATTTTGAAAAAAAAAGTCTGTCTGTTAGCATATTATCTCACAATCACATGACCTTTTGAATATATTACTCAACATTCTCAGAGCTTTTGGCTTTTTCCCTTTTCTGTTAGTCCTGGAAATTCCCTCATCCATACTCACTTCCTTCTCCCTCTCTGCAAAAAGAGTCACCTCTTGATTAACCTTGTGTGGGATTTCAGCCAAATTGTAATCCCAGGTAGATTTTGCCCATAGCATAGCGTGGTGGTTCTTAAACTTTGAGTCCTAAGACTTGTCAGGGGAATCTATTACAACAGGAGATATTAGAGATTCATCCTAGATCTAAAGATTCAGAATTTCTGGAGGTGATGCTCAGACAAATATATAACTGTATTTCTCTTTGTGGAATTCTGTTAAGTATCACAGCCTGAGAACCACTCACAAGTATATTTTACATTTCTAGCAACTGATAGAGTTTTCTGGCTGTAGAATGTTGGGATGAAAGTAGCATTTGGGGTCTATTCTTTTCTAACATTGTGTTAGAAAATAGTCTATGGAGGAGGAAACAATAGGCTGGCTTTTCCCAGAAGTAATCCATTTGTATAATAAGGCCTATCAGAATAGAAACATTATAAATGTAAAGAATGGGAGTTGTTTGAGAAAAACTGCTGTAGAAGAATTGGAAGGACCCGGTGATTTCTAGAATGCTAAAGCCAAAAGAGAGTAAAGGGGTTGAAGGTACCATTGGGAAAATGGCTATGATGGAAATTATTATTATTATTTTCTGATGGAAATTATTGAGCAAATATTAAATGTAGCACGGGATGAGGTGATAGGGAGGCCACAAAGATAAAAACACATAATTTAATTTACTTCAATAGGTATTTATTGAGTATCTACTATGTGCACAGCATTGTCCTAAAGTGTACCAGGGCACGGTTAACCAAATCTAGATTTGTATTATGTTCGGCTGGGGAGATTTTTTAAAAAGATTTATTTATTTATTTTAGAGAGAAAGAGAGAGAGCCCACATTTGAGTGGGGGGAGGAGCAGAGGGAGAGAGAGGATCTCAAGCAGACTCCCTGCTGAGTGCAGAGCCCAAAGTGCGGCTGGATTCCACAACCCTGGGATCATGACCTGAGCTGAAATCAAGAATCGGAGGCTTAACCAATTGCTCCACCCAGGTGCCCCCAGCTATGGAGATTTTTAAAAAATAAAGTTCCTGACCCTCACATTAGCTCTACTGAATCTAAATATCTGGAGGTGAGATTGAAAATCTTTAGTCTACAAGGCTCCTGAAGTGATTTCAGTGCATCCAGTCAATGGACCAGTTATTTGGGAATCACTGTTCCAGAGACCATAAAAATGAGTGAGGCAGAGTTTTTTTTAAAAAGAATGTATAAACTGGTATGTTGAGCAAGTTTCCTGACTCTGCCTTATATTCATGGCTTCTAAGTTTTACTCAGATGTTTCTTTCTCAGAAATGCCTTTTCCTCATCTCTGCCATGAAAATATTGTCTGTCCTTCAAGATCCATTCAAATGTGGGAAGAACTGGGACCACAGTCCCTATCAGCACCCTTCCAACCCCACATTCATGACACAACCCAATATTGTAGAATCCACCCTGACAACATGCACATCACCTCTCATCTCCTTTTTAGTCTCATCTCCCCCTCGTTAGCTCACCTGAACCACTGAACGGCCTTTAAACTCATCCCTCCCGCTCCATCTGTCCTCCTAACTCCAATGTATTCTTTATGGTTCTTTTAATCTTGCACAGTTCAATTATAACTGTTTTCTCATATTGCAAATAAAAGTTTACTGTTTCCTCGTTACCGATAAATTAGGGATAAAAATGCTCCAGTCTAGCATTCAAACTTCGGTATCAATTAGACTTCCTTTCGTTGTAAGCAATAGAACCAACTCTGACTAATTTAAGCAGAAAAAAGGTATAGGCTAGTTCACAAAATTGAAGTTTCAATCATTTCCCTTCTTTGTATGATTCTTCTCAAAATTCTCATTCTTAGAGAATGATTAATTAGACATATTCCCAACTGTTATTAATAGAAACACAGGGAACACTGACTGAAAGACCACTTAACAATTATGCTCACTGGGTAAAGACAGTTCTTTGAAAACAAAATTAGGGTGCTGTCACCAAAAGGGAAAGTGAATGTTAGGATCAAAACCAAGACATGTCCACTTCTCCCAAAATATGGCCCCAATCCAACTGAAGTAAAACTGACAATGACAGAAGTTCTGTGCTTTCCTTTTTGAGGAAAATGGGGAAAAAAGCAAGGCAGCTAATTCTTGGTAGTCTCAATGTTCTCTGGGTTGGAGGAGAAGAGGCTAGTGCTTTGAAGTAAATGTGTAAACAACGTGTGGAATGATTCAAGAAGTAATTATGAGTCATGAGGGTAAAGATAAACAGTTTTCATGTTTTCTGTCTGTGAACAAGCAATTTCTATAGAACTACAGTGTCCTTTGCCAAACAACCAATAGTATTTTTTGGAAAAATATGTTAACCACCATAATACAAGAACAGCCAGAATTTTATTAAGGAGAGAGTCAGTAGGGTAACAGTAACTTCTATAACTTTAGGAGGGTAACAAGTCTTCCACTTCCAAGTTCAAGAAAGGAGCAATGATCTCCCGTAGTTCCCACATTCTGCGGTGTCCAAGCATTGCTGGGAGCAAGCTTTCAAAGATAAATGTAGCATCAAAAAATAGTATGTAACATGAAAGTCCAGTGAAGGTGAGGACATAAAACATGATGAAAATCCTCAGTGCACATTTCCTGCAAGGAAAGAGAACATCTGTGTTAAGAACATTCTGAAGAAAACCACACTGATGAGACTCCTGGTTCCTCCACCCAGTTAGTTCTATAATGTCAAGGAAGTAACTGAACTTCTCTTGACCTCAGTTGACATCCACAAAAGAAGGAGCTTGGACTAGTTGAGCCCTTAAGTCCCTCCTATGGCTGGCATTGGAATTCTAAGGTTTTATAGCCATGAAACAATGAAACCCTGGAAATTATGAGACTCTTTCCTTTGAAATACTCTTCTCACACTCTAGCAGACTATTGACATCTTTTCCTCACTTGTGAGGTATATGACACAGATTTGGAGGGAAATAAAGGACCAGGCAGTTAGATTTTCTGGGGATATAAAATGCAATGTGACAAATGGAGTCTAGCTCTATCACTAGTTTTATTCTGGTACCAGACTTACCCTTTTAAAGTAATATAAACTTTCTCAAGTCTTTCAGGACTCCTCCTCCTAGGCTGGACCTATGATCTATTTCATTTATTTGCTTTTACATCCTTGCATTATTATTTTCTAATTATCACTGCAATACATGATTAGGGTAGAAGATCTGGAAGGTCCAGAAAAACACAAAGAAGGAAAGAAATGCCACAGATAATCCAGCCACCTGGAGATAATGACCATCAATAACGTATTTTAGAAGAGAACATTTAGAGCACAGTTACACCTAGTTATGGATCTATTTTGTGATCCAACTCAGTGGATTCTGTAAACCTGAGCCAAGTTGTTTGGCATTATTGCCACTGCTTGTCTCTTGGTAGTTACACAAATAATTGCTTCTATTTCACACATTTTTTTAAAATTAAAGATTTATTTATTTATTTCAGAGAGAGAGGGGGAGAGAGAGAGAACATGAGCAGGAGGGGCAGAAGGAGAGGGAATCTCAAGCAGACTCTGCACTGAGTGTGGACCACCATGTGGAGCTCAATTCCACGACCCCAAGATCATAACCTGAGCTAAAACCAGGAATTGGTTGTTTAACCAACTACGCCACCCAGGTGCCCTATCACACATTTTATGAAAGAGCCAATGTTTTGAAAAATACTCTAGTCAGAAAAAGCTTTGAGGGCTGCTAAGATGAAGCAGAGATGCCCTGCCCTCAAGAAGTGCTAAATCTAGATGTGTTTTTTCTTATGAAAAGAAAAATGACTCACTACCAAAACATAGCTAGTAAATAAACACTGTTCTTCTTAAATTCTAAAATCAATCATCTTTGGAAATACCAAACTGGAACACTTTCAAAGAGAAACATTTTAACATTATGTTTTAAAGAGAAAAATAGTTTTTCTAAATTACAGATAATTTGGAAAACAGAGAAGTGAAAAAATTATAATCTCATCACCCTAATACCATTAGCTCAGTTTTGTTTGTTTGTTTGTTTCTTTCTTTCTTTCTTCCTTCCTTTCTTCCTTCCTTCCTTCCTCCCTTTCTTTCTTTCTTTCTTTCTTTTTCTTTCTTTCTTTCTTTCTTTCTTTCATTTTGTATTAATTTTTTAAATTTTTTGTTTTGTTTTGTTTGCTTTGCTTTTGGCTTACAGTGTGCTCTTCCAGTTTTTTCTTTCCTTCACCGAACACTCTAGGTATGGTTAAGTTCAGATTTATGTATTTATTTATATTGACTTATCTTTCGGATTTATTTTTTGACACTACTGAGTCATTTGATTTTGATTTACAAGTCAATATAACTTAAAATATTTTTCAGATTTTCTATTATAAAGCAAAAGAACATGTGCAATATTTATTTTTTAAAGTGTAGACATTTTTCTTTGGAAAACATCGTAGCTACTAATTCAAAATAATTTCTTTGAGGGATGCCTGGGTGGCTCAGTCAGTTAAGCATCTGCCTTTGGCTCAGGTCATGATCCCAGGGTCCTGGGATTGAGTCCCGCATCAGGCTCCCTGCTCAGTGGGGAGCCTGTTTCTCCTTCCCCCTGCTTGTGCTCTCTTTCTCAGACAAATAAATAAATAAAATCTTTGAAAAAAACAACAAAATAATTTCTTTCATATCACTTGTGTGGAACCAAATATTAGTGTCATTAAATATTTTATTCATTTTGAATTTACCTTCTTTAAAGAATAAAAATATTCCTTTGACTTTTTAAATACTGTTTATGTATCTATTTACATGTTTATTTTTCAAGATTAGCCATGCATAAAACCTTTAATCTTTTCCAAAATGTTCACATTATTTGTGGAAGGTCTATAAGGGAACTGTGGAATTGGGGATTATGCCAGGAAGAGGTACCCTCTGAGCCTAAAAACAACAAAACCGATACGTAATGATTAACTAAGTCTGCAAGATAAACCTCCTCAAAAAGATAATGTATAAACCAGTACATTTCCAGTTCTTCGAAAGAAATTGGTCAAAGCCTTAGGCGGTCTTAACTAGAATATAATGATGTGATGAAAGATGGCCAACTCAATTGGATTGTAATCTGCCCATTTAACACAATCAAGTGATGATCAAAAGGCATTTACTTACTTGTTTGATTTTTGAGATATAATTTGCATGCCATAAAATTTACCCTTTAAAGTGTATAATTCCATGGCTTTTAGTTTAATTCACAGGGTTGTACAACCATCACCATTATCTAATTCCAGGAAATTGTCATCACCCCAAAAAGAAAACCTGTACCCATGAACAGTTACTCCCTATTTCCCACTACCCTAAGGCCTTGCAACTATTCATTTACTTACTATCTACATGGATTTTCCTATTTTGGACATTTCACAGGAATAGAATCATGTAATAGATGGCCTTTTGTGTCTGACTTTCTTTCATAATGTTTTCAAGGGTCATCCACATTGTAGCATGAATTAGCATTTTGTCCTCTTTTGTGGATGAACAATACTCCATTGTATGGATATACCACATTTTGTTTACCTATTCATTAGTTGATGTATATTTGTATTGTTTCTATTTTTATGAATAATGCTGCTATGAACATTCATGTACAAGTTTTTGTGTGGACATATATTTTCAATTCTTCTGGGTGCATACCTAGGAGTGGGTCAGAGGGTAGTTCTATATTTAACATTTTCCAGAACTGCCAACCTGTTTTCCAAAATGGCTGCACCATTTTACAATCCCTCTAGCAATGTCTGAGGGTTCTAATTTCTCCACATCCTCTCCAATGTTTGCTATTGCCTGTCCTTTCAATTATAATTATCTTAAAGATGTAGAGTGGTAGCTCATGATTTTGATTTTTATTTCCCTAATGACTGATGGTGTTGACTATCTTTTCATGTGTTTGTTGGCCTTCTGTGTATCTTCTTTGAAGAAATGTCTATTCAAGTCTTTTGCTCATTTTAAAAGTTGGGTTGTTTCCTTTTCTGTTGTTGAGTTATAAGACTTCTTTATCTATTCTGGATACTAAATCCTTAATTTCCAGGGTTCTGAAAAAGTTGATTCTGACTATTTTTTTCAAGCTCTTTCATTGATTTTTATGGAGGAAGAAATTTTCTGGGGTTTTTTCTCCACTATTTTCATTGACATCCCTCCTCACTTATTAATTTAATATCTGCTCAGCATGGTGAAGATGTTTTATATTTTAGGTCCCAAAATGATGAAGATACCTGCCGTCTGGTAGCTCATGGATTATTAGGAGGAGACAGATTTGAAATAATTTAATTGCAATAATATACTGTGGGTTCTATGTCAGGATTATGTGTAAGGGAGAGTGCACACACAAGAGAGGTTGCTGAACATTCTACTTGGATTGGTAGTTGGGGCTAAAGAACCAGAAAAGTTTTTTTAGAGGAGGGTATTACTCCAGGAATATATGATGGTGTGGCATCTTCAGAAAGGGATCCAAAGAGTCAGAATTTGCTAAGATGTATGTTTTTAATACCATACAAGTGAGAGGCATCCTGTCCAGTGAACAAAGGTTTTCAAATCTGCTTAGCAGGAAGGTTCCTTTGGTGGAGGTAACTGCATCATAGATTGCAGACACCATCTTTTAAGATTTATGTACACATAGTTACCTAAAGCAATAATAAAGAAATCTATATCTATATATCTAATGCAATAGATCTACAGCTAAAAATAATATGAAAAACACTATGACTCCAATAAACACATAGACTTTTAAAGAACAAGAAGAAATAATTTATAAAGGAAGGTAAAACAAATTTTTAGTCATTCCTTGAAGAAATTCATCATACTATGCTTCATACATTTTGGGGCCTTTGTCCAGCCCCAAAGTCCCCTTTCTCTGACTTACCACATTGTAATGCTGGCAGGAGTGTTCTGGACTAAAGGGGGTGGTGGAGCCTCAGGAAGCTGGGGCTCAATTTCTTCCATATCCATTTCTTCAGGACTCTGAAAGTCTGTTTTCCTTTCTTGCCCTTGGTACATTCCCAGCTTTGTACTCAGCAGAGTCATGTCTTTGTAAAAGTTCTGAAAAAAATAGCAATAAACTGTCACTTAAAAAAATGATTTTAGAGGTCTGCTAGTCTTATTGTAGATGATGCACGGTGCTTTTCCTCCAGAACACCTCAGGAGCCCACATTGCCAATCCCATGTGAGTCACATGAGGAGATCATTGGCAAGTGCATACTCACCTAGTAGAAAGAAACTTAAACATTCACAAAATAAGGTAGCAGCATGGTAGACCCACATGCTAATCTCTAACTACTGACTTATTCATGTAGGAAGATAATTATCCTTATATTGAATTCATCTGTTCAATTTGTTCATCTATGCAAAACATATTGATTCCCACCAGGCACTATTCTAGGATACTGTGGTTAACAAAATTGATAAGGAATGTGCATTCTATTACATGTGCATTTTCAAACCAAATGGATAAGGAATTACATGCATGTTTATAGGGACTGGGGGAAAAGCAATAAATGACTAAACACATATATATATATACACGCACACACACACACAGACACATTAGATATTATAGATTAGGATACATGCTAAAGAGAAAATAAATAAGATAATGATATAGAGTAGCTGAAGTTTGTTGGTGGGACACCTACTTCAGATAGGTGGGACGATTAGGCACCTCTGAACAAGTGACAGGTTGACTCACTCATTCATTGCTTCTTTCACCCATTCACATTTACATCAACATATTGTGGGAGGAGTTCAGGTATGGAGTTATTTTTCTGGCTAGGGGAGATTATGGGAGGTCTGGAAGAGGAGATGACATTTGAGCTGAGCCTTGAAGAATACATAAACTGTCGACATAGAGGCTTAGCTGTAAATGGAGGAGATGTAGAAGCAGACCATGAAATGTTCTGTCCACCCAAAGCAGAGGGCCAGGAAGGGGAGAAAAAAGTGATAATGAAAGAGAAAGAAAACAGTAGGTGGAAAACCCTAACTTCTAGAAAAAGAATTATCCCTATATTTAGATTTTATCATTATTTGAACTTGAGTAACTGTGAAATCTTACCTTTATTCTTGCAATGAGTTTCTCCTTTAATTCATGAGCTTCATTACAAGCAGCTTCCTGAAAAGACACCCACAATTTTGGGTAAAATAGAAATATATTTTTCTGGTTTATACCATAAAACCTCACTCAGGTTGACACCACTTAGTTGTAAAGTGGCTTCTTTGAAGCTTACTTTTATTCAGTAAAATCTTTCCTCTTACAGCAAATTCATAATATAATCATGATAAATTGCAGGAGGAATAACTAAAAGATTAGCATAATTATTTTTAACACTTTAGAAGTATAAATTTATACAATAGCAGCTTATGATAAATCATCTTTTTCTCTATTCATTATTCTTTCCTTGTGCCTTAAAAAACTTCCAAGACACTAGGGGCTCCTGGGTGGCTCAGTTGGTTAAGCGTCTGACTCTTGATTTTGGCTCAGGTCATGATCTCAGAGTTGTAAAACTGAGCCCCATATTGGACTCCATGCTGGACGTGGAGCCTGCTTAAGATTCTCTCTCTCCCTCTCCTTCTCCCTCTGCCTCTCCCCACACCTGTGTGCATATGCGCGCTCCTTCTCTCTAAAAAGAAAACAGTCTTCTAAGACACTAGCTGGACAAAAAGTATGTTTCAGAGAAAAAAAGAAAATTGTATTTCTTTTAAGTATTTTAAAATTTATAATATAAGTTCTTGTTATGTTAGTTTGAATATTTGGACTTTATAGTTTAGCAAAAGAGCTATCCACAAAAAATGTCTGGTTCCTCTTTTCTTCCCATCTCATGTAGGTCATCATCAGGTAGAGATAACAGATGGTTTTGGGTGGTTTCTATCAGTAAGTTCAAGAGCCAGGCTGAAAGCAAACTTTCTAAGACATGGATGCCAATTATACATATGTCAGGAGTAAATAACTCTTGTAAGGTTTTTGATTAATCATTCTATAATAGACCTGCAGGATACTTTGAAAGGCAAAACTATAGCAGGAAGAACAGTGTTCTGGGATTCAAGAAAGATGGGTGCTAGAGGTGCCATTTCTAGAAATTTTCCTTAAACAAGTACTTGCAAAAGCAAGCAAAGATATGGATTGGTGAGGCAAAATTTGTAATAGCACACATTTATTATAAAGCCCCAAATATGCAGTGAAATAAATTTAATAAATCCAAAAATCAAATCCTGCATTATATAAACAGTGAAAAGGTAAAATGGCAACAAGTGGCATAGAAAGTTGCTGAAGAAAAATGCTAAGGGAAAACAGCAAGTTGCAAAACAATATGTATAATATAATCCTATTTAAATTATAACAACAACATGTAAGTACCTGTATAGGAAAATTTAGAAGAATGTAAATATAATAAAATATTCACTGTGTTTATCATTGAGGGAGTGGGATTATTTTTCATTTTCTAAATGAAATAGTTTTATGTTTTAATTATTAAAATAAGCATGCATTACTTTTGTTAGAAAAAATACACATATTTTCATTTTTTAATGGGAGAGCAAGAACAAGACTAGTCTTTTCATCTAGAAATATGGGCAAATCACGTCATGTTTTTGAGTTATGCTTTTCTCCCCTGAAAATGAGGGTATAGACTACAAGACAGTTCCCTGCTAGGTCTAAAACACTGAGTCTATCTTTCATCCAATTTTGGATTCCATTCACTAAAATTCCCTAGATCTGAGATTCCCTTGAAGAACTGGTTTTCTTCCTTAATTGTAATACCATTATGTCATTACCTGGACATATTTGTTATCTGTTTCTTCTATTTGCTTTTTAATTTCCATGATCTTCTCCTTTAAAACAAAAGGGCATAAATCAAAAGTTTTAATGAATGATGTGTGGAATTGAAACAAAGTGAAGATTTTTAGAGGAAAGCTCATTCATGATCAAAAAGTTTGAGATTTAATAGCAACTGTTTTTGTGTGGTTTTTTTTGATACTGTTCTGGGTATTGATCTCCAAAATCAACATTAAGTTGAATCAACAAGATACAGTTGTCCACATCCTACGTTAAGTGGCCCTTGGGCTAGGCATTGTGCTCGTTGGAAACATGTAATGAGCATTTGCCCTCAAACCGCTTCCAGAAAGGGGCACCTGGGTGGCTCAGATGGTTAAGCGTCTGCTTTCAACTCAGGTCATGATCTCTGGGTCCTGAGACCCGTGTTGGGCTCCCTGCTCAGTGGGGAGTCTGCTTCTCCCTCTCCTTCTGCCTCTCCCCCTGCTCATGCTCTCTCTCTGTATCTCTCTGTCTTAAATGAATAAATGAAATCTTAAAAAAAAAAAAAGCTTCCAGAGAATGTATAGTTACACCCTTCTTTTACCAAGTTCATCCGTCACCAACCCCTGAATTGTGTGACTTAATTATTTAGAAAGGAGTTGTGATCTTCTAATCACATTTTACTTGGTACCCTGGTTTATTTATATAAAAATATCTTTACACGGTACTTATCTAAGATAATTGTATCAAAGATAATAGATAGGAGACAGTTGCAGAATGAAAGTCTGTCATTCATATCAAGTCATGTTGATATGGGGATCTCAGAAAGCTTCGTGAATTTGGGGGTTAAATATCAGGCAACAGCCAAAGGCCACCTCAAAGTCCTTTCCTCACCTTAAAATTCTTTAATTTTGTTTCTGCTGTGTGTGTATTTTTAAAGTGATTTTACCGATTTTTCCCTCCTCTCTCTTTCATTCCTTTCTGAGTCGTTCCATTTCTTCACAAGATATAAATGAGCCAATACATGTGGTTTTATTTTAACTTTATTAGCTTATTTCTCCTTTGCCCGCACCACACTTTGGTTGTTGTTTCCATATCTAAAACTCTCCATTTCCCTTTACCAGAGTGAACCTACAGCCATTCCTACTGACTTTGCTTCTGTAATACTTATATTTAAATTTTCTATTTTAGGGACGCCTGGGTGGCACAGTCAGTTAAGCGTCTGCCTTTGGCTCAGTTCATGATCCCAGGGTCCTGGGATCCAGTCCCGCATCCAGCTCCCTGCTCCATGGGGAGCCTGCTTCTCCCTCTGCCTGCTGCTCCCCCTGCTTGTGCGCTTGCTAGCTCTCTTTCTCTGACAAATAAATAAATAAAATCTAAAAAATATAATAAGTAAATGAAGTTTCTTATTATATTACTGCATTTGCTTTTATGTGGCCTTTCCCATCACCCTTTAGACTTATTGAGGACAGACCTTGTGTCCATTTTTAAAAAGTCATGTGTATTGAGGTATAATTTACATATAGTAAAACTCACTTTTTAAAGGTGTACTGTTCTATGAATTATGACATAATCAACAGAACAAGATATGTAATATTTCCATCATACCCCAAATTTCCTTGTGCCCCTTAGTCAATCCCCTGCTCCCTTTCCCCAGGCAATTCTAGCAACCACTAATCTCTTTTCTGTTCCTATAGTTTTGCCATTTTCAGAATGTTATGTAAATGTAATCATGAAGTATGCAATCTTCTGGATCTGGCTTGTTTCACTCAGCATAATGCGCTTGAAATTATTTCATGTTGTTGAATGAGTAAGAAGCCTATTCCTTCTTACTGATGAGTAGTATTCTATCATATAACATGTACCACAGTTTATCCACATACCTGTTGGTGGATATTTGGTGTGTTTATAATTTTTAAGTCATGCTGTTTTTTTTTTTTTTTAAGTGCAAACAAAGCTGTGCATCTCCAGGCCAGAGAATCTCCATATCTATTTGTCATGCCTTCCCTTTTCATATTATCCCAAGCCTTTGTTGGTTTCTTTTTTAAATCCCATTTTCATTTATCTTTGTGCTCTTCTATCTTTCTCCTCATTCCTTTGATGCGCATCCCTCCCTAACCCTACCTTCTACTGAAATCCACATCCCGGTAACACAGCTGACTCTTGGAGAAATTTTCCAAGGCAGAATATTTCTTGGCCTTGTCTTCTTCCCTTTTCTCATAATTTGCAATTTCCATAGCCCAAAGACAGTGAAAAAAACTCGTGACTTTTCATCCAGCTAAAAATGAGGTTGCTACTTCAAAATTTTGGACTAAATCATGGCTAAAAGTATTCCCCCTTCCCCCCCCTCCGTGTTAAATTTGTGCTGATCTGTAGTTGGCTTTTAGTATGTGAGGGGTCTAAATAAACATTACCTTCCTGCAATAAAAGAGACATTTCTTCTTTATTTCCTCCAAAATTCACTTAATTTAAGCTTTTTGGCTTGAGCTAAAGCAGAGGAAGTAGATAGACACGGGTTTCTCCTTTCTTAGAGAATTGTTTTTCAAAGGCATGAAGTTTAGAAACACTGTCAGCCAGGGCTCTGAAGTCTAATTCTTATCCAAAGTTGGTCACTACCTTTCTAACATCCTATGACTCTTTAAAAAAGGGAAATTCAACCTTTCTCAGAAAAGAGTCTCTCGGCAGTGCAAGGCAAGAAAACAACAGAAAAACTGGAGATTGTGAAAACCAACACAAGAACTCTTCATGAAAGCATCAAAGATGAGCACAAATATACCTCTTACATTTTAAGGTTGCAGTTATTCATAAATATTTAATCCCTGGATATCTTCTTGAACTGTTAGGTGCTGGGATACAAAGATCAAGAAGAGAAGTCTTCTGTTAAGGTACTCATCATGGTCTTAAGATGGCATCAAGATATAAGCCTATCAAACTGAGTTTCTAGGTAGAATTAAGAACTTGTCTTTTTGCGTTGTCAGAGAATAGAAGTGGTGGGACCCACATGACAGGTGCTCAGACCTGACCACCAGAGAGCACTCCTCCTCATGACAAAAGATGGGTTTTAATTCTTATTACGGTTGGTTAAATAATAGAAGGGGTGGGAAATGGTGGCAGAGTCCCCACAACCTCCCCGATTATCTTTTCCAAGCCTCCAGCTTACCTCAATGTTTGCTCCCTGATCAGGGTCAAGGTCTTGGTGTGACTCCAGCTTTCCAATTTGGTCCTCCAGACACATCACCTCATTTAATAAGCTGCGAACAGATCAAGAGATGGACTAAGTCCTATGGATTAAGAAAAATCACCCAATAGACAATCTTTTTTGATTTTTCAAGAATGATAGCCTATTCCTACATAAGAGGACTCTTGCGTTGTGGTTGTGTTGGAATGGGATGTCACAAATGCAATGCAAGAAGGTAGAAAACACTAAATAATCCAGATAATAGTAAAGAAATGTAAGGCCTAATTGGATACAGGAGCAGAAAATTTAAATGATTAAAATGGAAGCTTAGCTAAATTTCTAGAAAAAAAAAAAACCCACAGAATATCTTTGGGACTTACGACTAGGCAAAGATTTCTTAGACTTGACACTAATAACATTACCTATAAGAGGGAACATTGATAAACTGGACCTCACCAAAATTCAAAGCTTTTGTTTGGCCAATGACTCTGTTAAATGGATTCACTTGTCAATATCTGGCAAAGGTCTTATATCTAGAATATATGACAACTTCTTAAAACTCAACATTAAAAAACCAAACTATCCAATTCAGAAATGAGCAAAACACATGCACAGACATTTCACTAAGGAGATATATAAATGGCAGATAAAGACATGAAAGGATGCTCAGCACCATTAGCCATTAGAAAAATTCAAATTAAGACTATAATGATATATTACTACAAATTTATCAGAATAGCTAGGATGCAAAACAGTGATAATGCCAACTGCTAGTGAGGATGTGGAGAAATTGGATCACTCAGACATTGGTGGTGGGAATGTAAAATGGACAGCCGCTCCAGAAAATAGCTTGGCACTTCCTGTCAAAACTAAAAACAGACTTACCATGTGACCCAGAAATTTCATTCTTGGGCAATTATTCCAGAGAAATGAGGACTTATTTTCACACAGGAATTTGTACATGAATGTCCAAAGTAGCTTTATTCATAATAGTTGAAAATTAGGAATAACATACTTGTCCTTTGATGGGTGAATGGTTAACCAAACTCTCTCTCTATATATATATCCCCATACCATGGAATACTACTCAGCAACAAAAAGAAAGGAACTATTGATATACAGGCAACAACTTGGATGAACCTTAGGAAAATTATGCTGAGTGAAAAAAATAAATCTCAGAAGGTTACATAATGCATGATTTGATATAGCTAACCTTTATGAAATAACATAATTATAGACATGTGGAAATGATTTGTCATTGCTGGAGATTAGGGGTCAGCTTAGGTGTGGCTACAAAGGGCTAACACAAAGGAGTCTTGTGCAATGGTACAACTGAGATTCTTGAGTGGTGGTGGCTATGTAAGGCTACCCATATAGTAAAATTGCACAGCACTATACACACACTCCCATGCACAAGTGAGAATACATATAACTGGTAAAATCTAAATAAGCTCTATTCATAGTGCCAAGGTCAGTTTCTTGGTTTTGATGGTACACTAGAGTTGGATAAGATATTACCATTTGGAAAAGCTGAAGGAAGATGAAATGGGGCAAATTCCTCAAAAAATACAATCTACCACTAACATATACCCAACGGTTCAGTAGCCTGAATGGCCCTATATATCATTAAAGAAATTAACTTTGTAGTTAAAAGTTTTACTCTAATGAAATATCCAGGCAATATGGCTTTGCTGGTGAGTTCAATCAAACATTTAAGGAAGAAATTATGCCAGTTCTACACAAATTCATCCAGAAAATAGAACAAGTGGGAAAATGCCCCAATTTTTACTATAAGGCAAGTTTTCTGATACTAATACATTACAAGAAAGAAAAAGGCCAATATCTCTCATTGACATTCATCCAAAAATTCCCTTTTAGTAAACAGTATCCAACAATATATAAAAAGAATAATATATTATGACCAAATGGGGTTTATTCTGGGAACTCAAGGCTTGTTCAACATTGAAAAATCAGTCATTATAATTTGCCATATCAGGAGACTATGAACAAACAAACAACATGATCATTCATAGATGCAGCAAAAGCTATTGAAAAAATTTAGTATAATACCTGATTTTAAAAACATCTCAGTAAACTAAGAATAGAAAACACTTTCTCAATCTCAAAAAAAAAAAAAAAAAAAGCAAAACACCTTACACCACAATGCTTTTTCTGTAGGACTGAAAACAAGGTAAATATGTCTAGTGTCTGCTGTCATTCCTCCTATTCAACATCATACCCCAAGTTCTAGCCAATATGATAAGGCAGCAAAAAGAAGTAAAAGCTATGCAGATAGAAAAAGAAGATATAAAGCTCTCTCTATTTGCAGATGACATGATTATGTGGAAAATCCCAAATAACTTACAAAACTACTTGGAGCTGATAAATGAGGTTAGCAAGGTCACAAGACACAAGACCAATATACAAAAACTAATTGCATTTCTATATCCTGGCAACTAATAATTAGAAATTTAAAATTTTAAAGTATAATGGCACCAAGAGCACGAAATACTTAGGCACAAATCTAACAAAATGTGATATATCTGTACCCCGAACATATCACAATACCAATGAAAGGAATTTCTTTGACTCCAAAGCCCCTTCTCTTTATACCAGTGACTAGAAAAATAATAATTACTCTTACCTTTCCAGTTTCATCTTAAAACTTTCCACTTAAATTCAGAAATGCATTAATTTAACAACCATACTTTTTAATACTTTTTTCATATCGTTGGCTCCCTTTGGACAATACTGGCTAAAGCTCAAGGGGTTATTGGAGACTCGAAGTCCTTCCTTTGTTGACCATTAACACAGTTTCAAAAAAAGCCTATGAGAGAAGTCCTTTCCTTGAGAGAAGAGAGAGCAAAGATGCAGATAACTTTGCAACAGGCTTTGAGATTTTGTGATATTGACTTCAAAACGTAAGACTTGGTACTTCTTATCCTGAAGATATGCCTAAAAGACTTTACCACCTTAAACCCAGAGTTTCTGAAGCTATGAAAATTTTCAATATTTTCTGACCAAACCCAATACCCTAAAATTACCTCTTCATTGTGTTTTCTGTTAGGTTTATTTTTTGTATAATATTGTTGATTTTCTCCATCCAGCTTATGTGATCAGCTCCAAGTTCTTTCACTTGTAGACCCATCTGTGTATTCCAGTAGTTTAGCTGGAAGAAAGTGTTCTCCTGACTCCTGCAGAAATATTATTATGATCAGTTTTAAGGTAAGAAATGGGAAACATCTTCAAATGGCCCAAAACCTTCTTTCTTTGAATGGCAAGTTGGTATGCTGATTCATTTCCTGTCACCAAAATGGGCCAGGTAAACAGTTAGGACTCAAGAAAAAAGTTTGAGCACTTATTTGATATCCATTTTAGCAGATCTTCATAAGACTGAAGAAAATAAAATGTATTTTACATTTAGTAAAAAATAACGGTATATTTTTAATTTTCCTGCATGGAATGAACGTTAAGAATTACACTATCCTAATGAATATAAGGATAGTGATCACATCTTGTTAGAAGTAGAGAGCTATGCAGCAGGGGAAGGGTCTACAAGAGCTTAACAATACATTTCTATTGATAAATATAATTCTTTTCTTTTTTAAAAAAGATTTTTCTTATTTATTTGAGAGAGAGAGAGAGAGGGAGAGAGAGCACAAGTGGGGGAGGGAGAGGGAGAAGCAGACTCCGCACTGAGCAGGGAGCTTGATCCCAGGACCCCAGGACCCCAGGATCATGACCTGAGCTAAAGGCATATGCTTAACCCACTGAGCTTCACTGAGGAGCCCCCATAATTCTTTTCATATCCAGAAAATTATCTGAGAGTGACAAGATATGCATTAATTCCAGTCTCCAAAAAAGAGTTTGCAAAGAGAAACCCATGGCTCGGCCCACGTCTGTAGAAATACATCTACTCCATATTCTTACTAGAATACGTAGGTAGTTACTTGTGCACATGAGTGCTTAAAGGTTTAAGACATATGGATTTTAAATCTTCCAGGCTTTCCCTAAGTGCTCTGCTAAATTTCATTTTCTCCACAGAATACTATTATTTTATTTTTTTCTTTAAAGTTTGACTAACATACAGTGTTATATTAGTTTCAAGTGCACAATATGATTCAAGAGTTCTATATGTTATTCAGTGCTCATCACAATAAGTGTACCCTTAATCCCATTTATCTATTTTACTCAGCTCCCCACTCACCTCTCTTCTGACAACTACCAGTTTGTTCCTGTACTCAAGAGTCTTTTTTGTTTGTTCATTTGTTTTTTTCTTAAATTTTACATATAAGTGAAATCCTATGGTATTTGTCTTTCTCTGGCTTATTTCATGTAGCATTGTACCCACAAAATATTATTAAATGATTCCTTTTGCATGTGTCAAGGCTTACAGTTCAGGGATGTTCTCCTTGGAAAACTGCAAAGATGTGGATACATGAGGATCCTCTTGTTGGACCTGATTTGTTTCTTGCTCATTCTGTTCATTCTGTAGGTCCTGGTGATGCTCAGCCTCCAGCTCCAACATATTCTGATAAAGATTATGAAAGAAGCAAAGCAGAAAAAAAGGGTTATAACAAGAGGTGATGATCTCTTTAGCTTATTTATGTGCTTTTCTCTGGGGGCAAGCACATAGCCCTCTCTGAGGCTGGGGCTTCCTACTGCATTTATAAAATAAGTAGACATGCCCTTCCGCTCCGTTGACAGAGGAAGGCTGGGGCGGGGATGCATAGAACATCAGTGGCCTCATGCAGAGGTCTTTTCAGTGCCGATGAGTAACAGAATTCCACCTGACCATGGACTCTAGCACCCCACTCCAGATGACTGGTTTCCCAAAAAGTCAATGTGAAAGGAAAATAAAAGGGGATAGAACTGTTTTATGTTAAGAGAGTCTAAAGAGATATATAACAGCTAAATACATTGCATAAATCTTGTTTCAATGCTGATTTTAAAAGTACAGGCATTTTCTGGGTTTTGGCACCAAAAAATTTTTAAATAAATAGAAGTATGGGCATTTGAGGGACACCTGAAAAAATTAGAATTCTCAGAGAATTGAGGATATTAGGTTACATCATGGAATTATTGTTAGTTGTCCTGATGTGATGATGGAATCTTGGCTATGTAGAAGAAAGTCTTTATTTTTAAAAATGCTGTCTGAAAATAAACAGGGATAAAGTCTCATGCTGTCTTTGACCTACTTTTAAATGGTTCAAAAAATTCCATCTATTTACATATGTAAAGATAAAGCAAATGTGACAAATGGCAACAATTTTAAAATCTAAGTGTGAGAATATGGTTGATCTTCATATAATTCACTTAAGTTTTCTTTTTATTTAAAATTTTTCATAATAAGAAGTAATAAGGGAGGGGAAGCCTACTCTTATCAGCTTGACCCACAAAATTTATTTCTTTGTTTCTTTATTCTTTGCCTTTTTCTAGAAAAATATTCAAGTCATTTTCTGGTATTTCACTTCTATGCATGCACAAAATTGACAGTAATTTATCTTTGAACATTTCTCTTCTTTAGTAATGACATTGTGAAATATTTCTCTGTCCTTTGAAGAAGTTTGGTCTGAAATCCTTGTGTTTCAGCAAAACTATTTTTAAACTGGAAGGAGAAAAAGTTGGAGTGCAGATCAGGCTGTTATTGAAATGTCTGGATAAGTTGCTGGCCACATTCACCAGGAATAACTAACATTCATGTAACTCTTTACAAACTTCTTTCATGTGCCTTCTTTCTTTTAATTCCCATGATAGACTTGAGGTAGATAAAGTCAGGTATTGAAATCCCCTAGGTCAGTCACATTAATGAGTAGTCCAAGGTCATATGGTGTAGTGAGTTAAGTGGTCACTCCAAAAAAGATATGTCCATATCCTAATGCTAAGACCCTGAGAATGTGACCTTATTTCAAAGAGTCTTTGTGGATGTAATTGAGTTAAGGGTCTAAGACGAGATTATTTTGAATTACCTGGGTCCTAAATCCAATGACAAGTGTCCTAATGAGAGACAGAAAGCACCTACACAGAGGGGGAGGTCATGTGAAGACAGAGGCAGTCACGTGCCAAGGCATGCCTGGAGCCACCAAAAGCTGGAAGAGGCAAGGAAGGATTCTCCTCTAGAGTCTTCAGAGGGAGCGTGGCCCTGCTGACTCTTTGATTTCAGACTTCTGGTCTCTAGAACTATGAGAGAATACATTTTGTGTGGTTTTAAGTCACCAAATTTGTGGCCATTTTTTACAGCAGCCTTGGGCAACTAGTACATATGGCCAGTAAGTGTGTGGACTAGAGCTTGAAGTAGATTTTCTGATTCCAACACCGTGACTATTTTCATCTTATCTAGTCCTTGGATTCACGTTAAGAAATATCTAGTCCCTACCACTATCACTTCCACAACCCAGTGGCACCTTACTAGTGAGGTAGGGTTTATTATCACACTTACAGATGAACAAATGAAGGCTAGATTTTCCAAGTACTAGATGACTCCACTATATCTTACTTCTTTGTGAATAAACAGCATTCACAATTTCAATTTCTTCCCACCTAATCTTTTACGAAGGCAGCAGGAACTCTGTGATATAGAGGAAAAACACTTCACTGGGTATGGAGAACCTGAGTTCTAAGCCTTGTTCTATTCCGGTGGATCTTGGGCCACCTAACCGCTCTAAAGCTCAGTTTCCTGTTCTGTAAGAAGAAAAGGGAACCAGATCATCTCCAGAGTTCTATGTCCAAAAAATCTACAATGACATTTCTTGTTTTCATCAATCAGTTTACCATAATGGTTAGCACACTGCAAAAGAGTCAAAAGTCAGGAAGTAGAAATAAAATATTTTTTAAAAGCTTCAGGATTGAACAAATAAAGAGGTGTGTGTGTGTGTTTTCATAACAAACTGAAAGTGTGCTTGCATGATATACAAAGCCTACGGGCATTACTTTCCATTTTTGTGCAGCTCTTTGAAAAGCTCATATGTCTCTGAGTGTTCCACAGGCACCTCAAACTCAGCAAGCAGAGAACTGAACTCATCATATTTCCTCTCTACCTTGTCCAGGTTCCCATCCTTACATATGTTTCCCCGATTTATCCAGATGCTTCTGCAGGAAGCTGGAAAGGAGTCCCTGAGTTTGCATGGCAGATATTCTTTTCCCTCTTCATTACTCATGTCACATCTACTTGGTGTCCAAGCCCAATAGCACCTATCTTTTATACCTGTATACTCTTCTCTCCATCTCCATGGCTGTCAGTCAGTTCTTGCTGCGGTCCTCACCACTTCTTGCTTCCTAGCGACATCCTGGTTTCCAGCCTGCATCCTGTGCTATCTCCACCTCCTTAGGGTCCTTGCTGCTTGCTTGTTCATCACGCCTTTTCTTTCACACTTCCTCTCTCAGAACACAAGTTCCCTTTGGCCTCTTTGCCTTTGCATGTACTGTCCCTTCTTTCTAAAATGCTTTTCTTCTATCCAGTTTATCCTTCAAGACCCAGTTTTCATATTCCTTGTTATCGGCTTGTAGAGCACCGTCATGTACTTTGTAGCACGTCTGCTACTTCTAACGTGGATTTATCAGGCATAGCCATTTTCTTGTCTGAGTCCCTACTAGTGTGTGAGCTCACCGAGGGAAAGGATTTTAGACAGAGATATCCTCAACACTTTACAGTGCCTAGAACACAGTGGTTGCTCAATACGTGGTATTAGAATAAATAGACGTCCGATGTTCACTGCAGCACTATTTACAATAGCCAAAATATGGAAGCAACTTAAGTATACGTCAATATATGAATGGATAAAGAAGATGTGGTGTCTCTCTCTCTATATATACACACATATACACATATATATGTGTGTACACACACACACACACACACACACACACACACAATGGAATATTATTCAACCATGAAAAAGAATGAGATCTTGTCAATTGCGACAACATGGATGGACCTAGAGGGTATTATGCTAGGAGAGATAAGTCAGAGAAAGACAAATACCATATGATTTCACTTACATGTGGAATCTAAAAAACAAAACAAATGAATAAACAGAACCAAACAGAAACAGATTTATAAATACAGAGAAAAAACTAGTGGTTGCCAGAGGGCAGGAGTGAAGTAGGGGAGGGGATGGAGAGGTACAAACTTCCAGCTATGAAAAAAAATAATAAAAAGATTACAGAAGTAAGGAAATACATTCTGCTTGTGAGAGATGCAGAGAAAAGCAGGAAATAGGAAAGTCTGCTCACTCACTGGGCACCCGAAATCAACACTATACATACCATTCCAGAGATTGGAAAATGCAAAACCAGAGCAAACTATTCACTTCTAAACATTTTGAGGGCTTTGATGGTTAGATATGGCAATTTTGGCAGCCTGGCTAAAGTCTATTTTGTTAATTAAACCAACTGATTTTTTTTTTAAAACTTCTGTTAATTCTGTCCTTTTTCTGAACCTTTAAATAGTATGGTCTTATTAAAAAAACAAATGTGAGATTATACAAATTAAAGACCTTCTGTTTTGCTTCCAGAGAATGAGAAACCGTTTCTTTCCCAAGAAGTCACATATTTGTCCTTTTATTGGCAAAGAGGCGAGTTTATTAATACTTCGGTTAATTACGTAATTGCACGTGATTTATTTTTATGTAATTGTAGAATTTGCCACATAAAGAAATATAGCCAAAATTTTTAAAAAGCCTTTTGGTAAACCTTGTACTCTGACTTGGAGTTTGTAAGAAATAGTCTTTTTGCCTTATACCCTGAGCATGTGGACTATTTGGTAAAAATAATTCACTCTTACAGAGTGAATAATTTTATTCTCTAATTAGACTTACTCTGATCTGATCTGAACTGGGTCAACAGGTGATGTTCACTGACAGACAGGATTCAGCAGGGCACATTACACTGTGCATTCAGGGAAGGTGTCCTGGCAAAGTGGGTTTAATGTTAGCAGCCCCTGCCTGGAGGCCAGGGACAAGGCCTGGACAAGGCCCCACCCCCCAAAAAATCAGATGATATTATTTATAGAATAATACCTTCAATTCCTGTGTCCCCTAAGATCATAGGGCCTCATACCTCAATTGCCCTATTTCCTTTTCTCATCTTCAGCTTTCCCAAAAACCCCATCCTAAGTCTCCCCTTCTCATTCAGTTCCTATTTTTTTTTTCCCGTAGAAGGTGTCTGTCTGTATGTCCTTTCACTCCTTGTCTGTCTCATTTTATCTCTTCTCCACATCTCTAATTCCATCCCCTCATGCCTTCTAGCCCCTATCTATTTCAAAGATAACGGACTAAGTATCCAGCTTAGGATACTCTTTGGTGGCCTTTCCTTCTATGGATTGACAGAATTAGTCATCCCTGAATCCAAAATATATTCGGAGTATTCAAGTAGACAATGAGCTCGATCCTGAGCTTCCTTTTGGGGCTGCATAGGCCTGGGAGTGGACGTTCCCACTCTATCCTTCCCTTATGTTTTTTGGACTGGTTGAAACCCGTGGTCAATGGCCTGGGGAATCTATGGAGAGATTTGCTCAATGATAATAAACTGTCTCAGTCATGACTTTGCTTTGATCTAAATGGTGGTGAAAACATAAACCCTTTCCAGAATAATCTCAGGCTTTTGTTGAAATTTCCTCCATTCCACGTCAGCTGGATGACTGAATTTCAAAGACAGAGAGATGTTCAGACTGAATGAAGAGTAACTAGATCTCATGCTTCCTGTTGGAAGACAATCTGTGAGCAGGGGGCAATTTGACACATGGCAATTTACTCCGAGGTGAAAAAGGTCACAGTGTTTTCACAAATCCCAAGGCCCGAAGTAACATATAATGTATAAGTCATTGCGTGGGAGGGTTAGCAAGTCCCTCATGTGAGAGCAGCAACCCTCAGAGTAGACACTACCTCCTTCCTGGTTTCAAGCTCCGAACACCCTGCACCAACCACAAGGAAACCCTCAGGTATTTCCTGACCATGTTGAGGTAGGAGATGTCAAGTTACTCTCTTCACCCAGCGTGACATTTAAGTCTCCCCCTTACCCATTTTGTAGTCTCTGTCTCATGAAGGAAGTCGGTTTGCGGCTTTTTGGAGAAAATGTTGTCCTTATCATCTGATCTGTCCAAGACGTGGTCCATTTTGGTAAAATCCCTTAGTAAACTGTAAGCCACACAGTCAAAACAGATGCTGTTATTATGCTGTAGGTGTACAATGTAGGCCTGCCCTAAGCATTTCTGGAGGGAGAACACTGGACTCTTTCCCGGCCCCCAGGAGCACCCGCTGCCCCTGTACTGATCCGATCCTGTGTGAATCAGGTCGGGCGCAGTATGCTGCACAGAACAGGAATGGAGGGGCTGGATAAGTATTTGCTGACTGAATCTAGAAGTGATTTAACAGTGAGATTTCAAATTCCAAAGCCATTGCAGCTGTGTAGCTGTGTGTGTGCAAATGTGTGCAAAATAAACAAAATTAAATAAATACTCTTAAAAAAAAAAAAAGTAGAGTTAAAAAGTGCCATGTAGTTCAAAGACCATGCAGAACGGACTAAGTCTGTGATCCCATCTTGACCTCTAGGCCCCAGATGTCCTCCCCACATTTGCTAGTTTCTTCTTTCACAGAGATTCTATGCCTAAATAAGCAGCTATGTTTATGTAAATATACATGTCTCTTAAATATGTGTGAGAGAATATTATACACACTATTCTTTACCCTATATTTCTTTTTTAACAGCCTCTTGGTGTCCATTTCATTTCAGGACATGCAGAGCTGCCTCATTTTATTTTATTTTATTTTATTTTGAGATTTATTCATTTATTTGAGAGAGAGAGAGAGAAAGACCACAAGTGGGGGAAGGGGGAGGAAGAGAGAATCTCCAGCAGACTCCCCACTGAGCGTGGACCCGGGGTGTGGGGCTTGATCTCACAGCCCTGAGATCATGACCTGAGCCAAAACCAAGAGTAGGACACTTAACTGACTGAGCCACCCAGGCGCCCCTGCCTCATTTTTAAAAATGGTTACATGGTACTCCATTGTGGGGCCATATGCTAATTTGTGAATCAGTTCTTTATGAATGCATACGTAGGTTCTTTCCAGTTAATTGCTACTACAAACAGTGCTGTAATGACCATCCCGACACATCTATGTGTCGATGTATATGTGTCCAAGTATATCTATTGAATAACCCTAAAAATAGAATTGCTGGGTCAATAGATACATATGTTTTCAATTTTGATAAATGCTACCGAGTTATGCCTTAAAGAGGATGAACCCATTTACACTTCCAGCAAAAATGATGAATGTGCCTGTTTTCCACTCTTTTTCTACAATCATGTATCATTAAAGTTTTTAATCTTTGCCAATTCCATATGCTTAAACTGATATCTCATTTTAGTTTTAATCTTTTTTTATTAGTGAGGTTAAGCATCTTTGCCTCTGTGTATAAAACTCATCTGTATTTCCTTTTCTACGGTGTGTTAATATCCTTTGCCCATTTCCTGTTGGACTACTGTTATTTTCTGGAGGGCACCGTGTGTGTATATGTACACACACACACACACACACACACATGCTCACACACTCACATATACTTCTGAGTGAATCACAGTCAATTTGTGATGGAGGTCTATGGTGGGAGTCTCCAGTCTGTGGGTTTTCAACCCGGAGGTGGGGCGCACTTTACACCTACCCTGCATAGAAAGGGTTTTGGGAATCTATAAATATTCCTATAGACTGAATAAATATTGCTTACATAAATAAATACTGCTCAGTTTCCAAATGTATATACAACTCTTATTAATAAATTACAAATGCATTTTAAAAAATGAAGGGGGGGAAACCAGAAGGGGGTGACAAACCATGAGAGACTCTGAACTCCGAGAAACAAACTGAGGGTTCTAGAGGGGATGGGTATTAAGGAGGGCACGTACGGTATGGAGCACTGGGTTTTATACGCAAACAGTGAGTTGTGGAACACTACATCAAAAACTGATGATGTACTGTATGGTGACTAACATAATAAAAAAATTTTTTTTAATGAAAAAATTATCTCCCCTAATACAGTAAGTTATGTAGTACCATTAATGACACTGATAGATTCATCTTCACTTGTGGAAATAATTACTAATAATTCATAATCCTATATTAAAGGATTATTTAGCTATTTAAAAAAATAAAAATAAAAACATCTTTGATGTCATAATAGCTTTTTTTGACATACAAGGATTCTGGAAAATCTTTTACTTTACTAAATTTCACCCTATTTAAAAAGGTTGTTAACCATTGGTTTATATTATAACACATTTTTATCATGTACTAACAAACGCATATGTATATTTACATGAACCCTTTGTGCTTTGTCTACTATACAAAGCATTGTAAATGGTTTATATATTTTGCAGGTGAAGATAATAAAGGCACAAAACAATCAAAGTATTTTTGCAAATTGAGATTAGAGCCTTGACCATTTCTATTCAGCTGATGTCTACCTGGTTCATGACCGTAGGTCCCTTTAGTGTCTCACAAAAAATATTCATGAGGTCAAAATTAGAAGAATCGTAGAGAAGACGGTTAACCCCACCCCGGAACTTGGCAGTCTCGTTATTTGCATCCTGCTGTCCCGAGGAGGTGTCCGGACAGGACCACAGAAACTGCCCCCAGGGCCCAGGCTTCACTTACTTCTGCATTGCACCTTCAGCCACATCCATATTTTGGAGAAAGCCATTGTTTTTCTTGGTCAACTGTTGTTCCTTCCCAACTGTCATCATCTGCAGAGATGTCCTGTCACTTAGCTTCATGAGCGCCATTTCTTCACTGCAGGGACAATGATGGCAACAAGATGGCTTTCACCACAGGATTGGCAACTATATGCCCTTCGCTGATACACTGAGAGCAGGTGTATTAACCCTTCTCCTACCCAAACTGGCCTTCAATTGTAAGGGACCCCAGAGTAAGTTCTTAAGTTACTCTATTCAAATATATACAGGAAAGTTTCTGTGTGTGGCTGTCCCTTAGGACATCTCTGGTGAACATGAGGGTTGTCTGAGCCTGCAAATGTGTATTTTGAATCTTTGAATGGGACTATTAGAGAGCAATTTAAAAGAAGCAGGCTAGGGAGACGGGAAACTTCATTTTCATAATCTCTTTCTGATCATATATATATGTACATTGTAAAAAAAAAATAGAAAAGGGAAAGAAGGAACTAGAAATCAGTGGTACTCTGGAGATAACCAGAGATACCAGGGAGATATCCAGACAAAACCACTGTTAATATTGTGTTGTATTTATTTCCATTTCTAAATTTGATATTTGTCTTATTCTTTTCCTATTGTTGACAAATAGGCTATATCTAAGTTTTTACTAATATAAATAATATAGTAATGAATATCCTTGCTTAGTAATTTTCAGTGTATCTCTATTATTTACTTAGGATACTTCTTTAGAAGTAAAACTACTGAGTCAAGTGTATATGCTTTTTTTTTTTTTTTTTTAGAGAGGGAGAGAGCGTGGGGTAGGGGAGAGGGGGAGAGGGAGAGAGAGAATCCCAAGCAGTCTCCACACCCAACATGGAGCCCAATTTAGCGCTTGATCTCACAACAATGAGATCATGACCTGAGCTGAAACTGAGTCAGTCACTTAACTGACTAAGCCGCCCAGGCACCCTAAAGTGTATATGCTTTTCTAATTTTATTTATTTATTTATTTATTTATTTATTTAGAGCAGAGGGAGGGGCAGAGGGAGAAGGAGAGAGAGAATCTCCAGCAGACTCCCCACTGAGCACGGAGCCTGACACAGGACTTGATCCCGTGACCCTGAGATCATGACCTGAGGTGAAGTCAAGAGTCAGATGCCCAAACGACTGAGCCACCCAGGTGTCCCTGTAAAGATTTAGAAAAATATTCCCAAATTACTTTTCTAAAGCTTCAACCACTATCCACCACCAGCAGCTGTACAGGAGAAGGGGAACTTTCGTTCCAGCCAGGCAGGCAAGTGTTAGCAGGTGGCAGAGGAGTGAACTGTTAGAGTACTGAAGTGGTGAGAGATAGAAAGGTGGAAGGAAATAGAAAGGGGGTAGAGAGGTGTGAGACAGGTTCTAGAAAGTTCATATGAAAAGCTATAAGAAAGGATCCATATGAAACATAACTCCTAGTTATTGGCAGGAATCACAAGGAGTACCCACCACCAAACAGGAGGAAACTTTCTCCTCTGGAGTGTGGCCTGGCCCTAGGGCCCTAAGAGACAGGGTCCCTGAGGGACCAAGGGTACTATAGACTCATGGGAAGGAAGGGATAAGCAGGGATTTCCCTGGAAGAGGAATGGTAGGAGTATCGAGGGTTGGGGAACCCAAGATTTTGGAATGATCCGGGCAGCCAATGGCCTGGTCCATCCCTCAGTGGCAAAATTCCGTTTTGTGTTTGACCAGTGTGGGGATCTGCAGTGGATGTGGTACAAAGGGGACTCCTGTGAAGGAGGAGGAAAGGGAAAGACTAGAACGTTTGCTGTGAGATAGCTCCATACTTCTTAACTTTGAGTGTGACAAACAAGAATAAAAATTTGATCTCTTTCAGGAGAGACACTGTGACCTGCCCAATTTCATCACTGTTCCTATCTGGACAGTTTCATCTGTTTCCTGAAAATGTTAAGCATTACTAAGGCAAATGCAAGCTCTGAAAGATGAATGGCCATGAAATCTGCCTGGTTTCATGTCTCTTTCCTGTCCAAAAATTAGAATACTGTGCAAATAATATTTCCTTATTTTGGTAATTTTTTGACATCCTAAAAGCTTCTATTGGGTGATTTAAGAGAAAATCTGCTTCTCTCAGTTCAAGTACCTACACAAATTCTACGTCCATACATTTTCTCTCATTTCAAATAACAGAATCCTAATGATGGCTTATGTTTGTACAGCTCCTAATAGATTACAGTGCCTTTCACATATTATCTTATTCAGTTCCCACAACAACATGGTGAGGAAGGGATTATTCCTGTTTTATGTGTGTATGGTCTGAAGCTCTGGGAGATGGTGTGATTGACTTAGAGTCATACAGCTGGCTAACTAGCAAAACTAGGACTCAGAATTTCCATGTCCTCACAGCTACTTGTAAGGGATTCCTCCTCCACCCTGATCTAGACCAGGGCTCCCCTATAAAACTTCGTTATGTTGGAAATCTCTATACTGTTTAGTACAGTAGGCACCAGCCCCCTGTGTCTATTGAGCATTTGAGATGTGGCTATTGCAACTGAGGAATTGAAATTTTAATTTAACCTAAATAAATTTAAATTCAAATAGCCATGTGTGGCTGGTGGCTACCATATTGAACAACTCAGAATTTTCTAGACCAGGAATCAGCAAACTATAACCTGTAGGCCAAATCCATCCAGTCACTTGTTTCTTAAATAACATTTTATTGGAACACAACCACACCCATTCCTTTACCTACTGTCTATGACTGTTTCTGCGCTGCTAAGACAGAGTTGAATGGTTGCAAGAGATGTAAATTTGGCACACAAAGCCTAAAATAGTTACGAACTTGATCTTTACGGAAAAAGTTTGCCAACCCCTGTTCTAGACCATCACATTCTTCTGGGTTGATGGGTGTTTTCTACAATGAATCAACTGGATGTAGTGAATAAGAACTTGAGTTTTGGAGAGTCAGGCTGAGTTCATATCACAGCATCAACCCTTAGCAGCTGGGCATAATCTTAATATCCTAGGTCTTACTTTTCTCATTGGTAGAATTGAGCTAACATTACTATCACTAGTGTTACGAGAGTTGTGAGGAGTAAATCAAATAATTCCTATTGTACTTAACACAGTGTCAGATAGATGCAAACACTTGGCAATGTTATCTACTAAAATAAAAACAGTAGAGATGGGAGCTATTGGTAAGGTTTCTTTAGCTCCAAATAGAATAATAATAATAATAACAACAATAATAATAATGCTTACACATATGCAGCACCTTTAGTTTATAAAAAACTTTCACAAAGTTGTTTCATTTGATTCTCACATCTGCCCTGAATGGTCAGGCAACCCAGGCAGATCTTATAAGTTCTATTTTTTAGATGTAGAAACAGACTCAGAGAGGGCCCCTGATTTGCCCAAAGTTTTATTGCTAGAAAATGGTAGAATCAGGACTTAAACCTGCAAGTTTTGGTTACAAGTGTGGCAATTATCCTACTATTATACATACATTTGATGCCCAATATGTTTTAGTGGGTTACTTAATAGCCTTCTCACCTCAAAAACAAGCTACTTTTTAAGCTACCTTTTTTTTTTTTTTAAAGTAATCTCTACACCCAGCATGGGGCTTGAACTCAAGACCTGGAGATCAAGAATCACATGCACTACTCACCAACCCAGTCAGATGCCCCTGAAGCCAACTCTTGACTAGTCGTATAGCTTTGGTCCTTGCTACTCAAAGTATGGTCTGCAGACCAGCAGCATCAGCATCATCTGGGAGCTTGCTATAAACACCCAGAATCTCAGGTCCTACCCTAAACTCACTGAATCAGCATCTGCATTTTCACAAGATCCCAGGTGATTCATATATGTATGGAAGTTTGGAAGTATTCAAACTCTAGACCTTTGAAACTCGAATCTGTCTTCTCCATCCTACACCCTATCTCTTCATTCCTGTATGTTTACACCACTGACCTCTAGGATTGTTTGGTACAACTGGAATGAATCCCTCCTCCCTTCCCCAACCTCATCAAAACCTTTAAAATTACAAATTTGGTGGGGCACCTGGGTGGCTCAGTTGGTTAAGCATCTGACTCTTGGTTTTGGCTCAGATCATGATCTCAGGGTCCTGAGATCGAGCCCCATGTTGGGCTGCATGTTCAGTGCAGAGTCTGCTTGGGATTCTCTCCCTCTCCCTCTCCCTCTGCCCTTCTGCCTCTCCCCTGACCCCATGCTCAATCTCTCTCTCTCTAAAATAAATAAATAAATCTTTAAAAAATATAAATAAAATTATAAATTTGGACAAGCATTATTCAAAAGGAACAGATAAACTATTTTAAAAGACAGCTTGTGAAATCTGTCACTTACATTTCGTGGGGGACTTTCCAGGCCTGACCACTCAGATCACCCTTTTCAGTACCTGTTAGCCAGACAATTTGGGTTCCCAGAAATTTCAAAGCATGGTTGAAATAATCAAGGATTTGATGTCACCATAGGCTTCTGGCCAGGTGAGTGAGGTGGTGGTGAGATGGTACAGCTGTGAAATATCTATGCCTGGTGATATCTTGTCCTTCCCGATTAGGCAATCACAAATAACCTCTCAATTCAGTGCGGTCGACTAACAACAGTGAAGTTTCCCTGGAAAGTTCTGGTAATGCCAGGTCCGCCTTTCCCCAGCACCAAAGGCAGAGATGAGGCCATTTATGAGTGGTACACACCTAGGCAGGTGAGTTTGCAGTTGGACTTGCCCTTTCTGACATTCCACGTGGAATGTGGCACATGCAATGCTTCAACCCCCTCTCATAAGGTTCCAGGGGTGCAGAGCTCTCCTGCTTTCTTTTAACTTACATCTCCAGCTTGTCTTCCAGCTTCCTTGCTTCTCCTGTCAACACTTGGGAAACTAAATCCAGCCCTCTGCCCATCTGTCTACCGACACGACGATGCTCTGGGATGTTCTGCCAACTTCAGCTGCTTCTGCCATGCCCGCTCCTTTCACCTTCTTCTCTGAACAAGGCATCCCAGACCTTCTGCAATGGAGGACATGACCTCTCCCATTTCCCCCCACTTAGCAGGAATGAGGAAGCCATTGATCTGGCAAACCAGGGCTACTCCTACTTTATGGCTCTGCCATCCATTCATCTTTGAAATCCATACTTCCTCTTACCATTCTCTACATGCACTTTCACTTCTTCCAAGACTTCGGTGCCAAGTTCACATTTCCTTTGGTACCTCATCCTCTCCCCTCATTCTTGGGGAACTCGGCACCCATTGGAGAGGGCTAACATTCTGACTTCAGGGGTCCTAAGCCGCCAACTCTTAAAGATTTCCTCTACAACCACCAACATTATTCGGCAGCGTGGTGATGAAATCAGAACAACTTTTATAAGCATGAACTTTAGAATGAGGTCAGTGTTTCAAACCTGGCTTTGCCCTTTATTAGCTATTTGGTTTGTGGCAAAATATAATTTCGTTGTCTAAAAAACATGCTTGAGAATACCTGCCTACTTGGTTTGTCAAGAAGATTGAGGCAATAATTAAGGCAATAATGGATGATTGCTAGTGCTCTGGCTAGAATGTAGACTCTCTGAAGACAGCGATGGCTGTGTGCTTTGTTGACTGCTATACCCCAGCACGAGGTGAGTGGCTGGTAATAGGCACTCAAAAAAATTTTGCCCAAGAAATGAAATGAATACATATATGGTAGCCATGTTTTTTCTATGTCAGTATTTTAGGTCTTGTCATAACCCTGAGTATTTCCTCAGCTAAAAGCTCAAGGTCAGATACCTCACCTTTCTTCTTCTGGGCTTTCTATGCTCTCCACCTAATTAGAAACCCAGATTCCATCACCTTGTGACCTCCCATAGTACCTGCTGGGCCAATCTTCAGTCTTGGGTTCCTGCCTCATAACACGACTATGCTCATACCTTTGGTTGTCCCAAGTAATCTTATGCTTCTTTAAGAAAAATCACAGACGCCTGGATGGCTCAGTTGGTTAAGCATCTGTCTTCGGCTCAGGTCATGATCCCAGGGGCCTGGGGTGTGAGCCCTGCATTGGGCTCTCTGCTCTGGGGGAAGCTGCTTTTCCCTCTGCTCCCTCCCCGCTCCCCCTCTTATGTTCTCTCTCTCAAATAAATAAACAAAATATTAAAAAAAAACAGATAGAAAAAGAAAAATCACAAGATTCTTATGAGTGGTTCCACCACAATTTAATAACAACAACAATAACAGCTAACACTTACTGAGTACTTACTAATGTGCCAGGCACTCTTCTTAGTGTTTTACATATATTACCTAATCCAATTCTTACCACCTTTCAAAAAGGGAGGATGTGGGATTCAAACCCAAACCTGGTTAGTTTGGCTCCAAGAACCATACCCTTAAGCACCACTGTATATGACTATTCTTCACATTGGGTTCGCACTGTTACCCAGCAAAACTTTACACATCTCTTGTTGCCTCCCAGACATATGGGGCCAACAGCTGTTTTCTGTCTTGCTTGGTTCCTCTCCCTCTCTGCCCCACTCCCAAAACGCAGCCAGCTCCCTCTGTGAGCAGTGACCCAGCCTCCCACGTTACTGCATTGATGGAGGCCATCTGATGGGAGTGCTCTCCACTGCCAAACAGCTCCCTTGTGTAGCCTCGTCTCCATTCAGAACATTCGTATGTTTTCCTCTAGTTGCTATTTCTATTGTTTGTTACATACTCTTACCCTAAATGTTTCTAATATGGCTTCTTGATTACAAGGTTTTTTGCCTTTTTTTTTTTTGTATTTTTAGAGCCTTTAATAATCTAATTTCTTTGGTGGAGTGGATGCTTTTTTTTTTTAAAAGATTTTATTTATTTATTTGAGAGAGAGAGTGATCGAGAGAGAGAAGGAGCAGGGGGAGAGGCAGAGGCAGAGGGAGAAGCAGACTCCCCACTGAGCAAGGAGCCTGATGTGGGACTTGATCCCAGGATGCTGGGATCATGACCTGAGCCAAAGGCAGACACTTAACCGACTGAGCCATCCAGGCCCCCTGGTTGCTGATTTTTGCATTTACTTTAATAATCCAATTTCTTTGATGAGTGGAAATAGTACATTTTGTTTTTCACACTTATTTGATCCCAGAGGTTTTTCCATGCTCAAAGCACTGTGTTTCATGGACCACACTTCAGGAAATCCTTTTTAAAAATTATAGGTAATGTAAGTGAAGTTCCAGGCACACAGGAAGGTCTTGTAAGCAGTAACAACCACTACTGACGTCATAGGGCATCCCCATTGTTGCATCTTGGATATCATGACTGGGCAGCATTCTCGAACTATTTCTAGTCCAGTGTCATAATCTCTAAATGCTCAAAAAACCTTCCCCTGAGGCCTGAAGCTAGGTCTATCTGCCCAGCGTTTGTTCCACCCCAGGAAGAGGTTCTGGTTCTGATCCCTGTTTAACCTCCCTGTCCATCACCAGGCCACCTCCAGCCCAGAGATAGACTTACATCAAGAAGGGCGTTAGAGGGGCACCTGGGTGGCTCAGTCAGTTAAACGTCTGATTTCAGCTCAGGTCATGATCTCGGGGTCCTGGAATCGAACCCGATGATAAGCCCCGTGTCAGGCTCCGCACTCAGTGGGAAGTCTGCTTGTCCCTGTCCCTCTCCCTTTTCTTCTGCCCCTCTTCCTGCTTGTGCTCTGTCTCTCTCTCTCTCTCTCTCTCTCTCTCAAATAAATAAATAAATAAATAAATAAATAAAAAAAATCTTTTAAAAAGTGTGGGGCATTAGATTGCTGTGAAAACCCTACGCTGTGAAAGTATTGGCAAAAGGCCTCATTGAGAACCTAGAGATTTCAGGAATTAAACCTAGAAAGGAGTAAATAAGTGTTTATTAATCAGAACCTTTTAATGAATACCTTTTCATGGAGGGTTTTGTACTATTTTAACACACTCTCTAACATTGTTATGAAGCCAGTAGTCAGATCAAATAATCTGCCTTGAATGTGCCTCTTTTTAAACTTTGCCAGGACAGAGAGATATCTGTGAGTTACTTAATATCTCTGAGCTTCCCTTTTCTCACGAACAAAATAGGGAAATGTCTACCTCGCAGGCTTATTGTGAATAGGAAGCGGGATAATTGTGTATAAAGCATTTGGTCCAGTCCCTGGAATGCAGCAGGCACTGAAAAAGAGAAGTGAGAGCTTGGAGGAATAAAATATGTGAAACCTCAGGTGGTGAAGGTCTTGACCACCAAGATAAGAAGAGCATTAGTCATCCTACATCTGGGAAGCCCCAGGCTCCCAGCCCTTTAACAAAATGATTCTCACTGTTTTTAAGAAAGAAAAAGTTGAAAGAAAGAGAGAAAGAAAGGAAAACTACTGTGTCCTGTGATATTCAGGAAAGGTCTCAGAAGCCAGGACTCTCTTATGAGACCCTAAACAAGAGTGATGTCAGATTTGGAGCTACAGGAAGGGGTAGAGAACACATATAATGAGAAAGATTAGGTAAAGTAGTGCCTACAGCTTCCCAGATATTTAGGAATAAAACATCAGTGTGAAGTCCTCTTATATGGTGGTAACAGCATCCTCATCTCTACTATCAAATATTTATCAGCTGCTTATTGAATCTAGGACACTGTGCTAAGTAAGGCGGAGGAAGAAAGGATGTCCCAGACAGTCTTTACCATCAGCTTAGAGAAAGATAAAAACAGTAACATTAATATATGTTGAATGGCAAGAGTTGAGTGGCATTTACAAAATTGTTGTAACATCGCAGAACAAAAGGATTATTGGAAGGACGCCTACCTAGGGGTAGGGTGGCTTTTTTACTACTTTTAAAGAGGTTCCCATAATAAGTATGAATGCATCAAATGTTGTTCAGATAATTGAAGAATAGGGAAGAAAGTTTTCTAGGGAGTGGGACCTGTTTTAAACACATAGGCATGCCAATGCAGAGAGTTCGAGCTTAACCAGAATTTGATGAGATGTTTTCCTGACAAATTTCATTGTATTTTATCCAGATGTAATTTAATTGCTGTTTTAACCAATTAACAGAAAAGAAGGCAATGATGAAAGACATGTTTATGTCAATACATATTTATAGCCATATTGATATTTTTTCTTTTCATAGAGAAATAATGCACAGGATGTTCATCCAAAGGTTAAAAGTGGCTCTTTTGGAGTAATGGGAATTTTTGTGATTTTTCTGTCCAGTGCAGATTGCAGAGAGGAGGTAAGAAAGGAAGGCAGGCAGACAAGCCTGCCGGTGATGCGGAATTAACAAAGATTCCTGCGAAAGGACAGGCCATGACCCAAGTCATGCTCTAGGAACACAGCAATTTCAGGCAGCATTTTAGAAAGGAATAGATGGTTTCTAAGCAAGCTGTTAGCAAACGAAGCAGTGGTTTCTGGGCACTGATGCGGGTTTTCCAAGACAAGCCCTGTGAGACTCATTTCCTTTCCTGTTGTATGACAGATGCAATTCATCTTTTCTGTGCACAAAAGCTTCTCTCAAACATTTAACAATTCAATTGACACAGAATGAGAAAAATTGAATCATTTGGAAGCCCAAGAAAGTAAGTCATAAGAAGGAAACTTAGTTTTTCCACTAATGGAAAAAAAATTCTACCGTAGCCTGCAGATTTTCTCTTAGTCATCCTCTACCTGACACATCAGTCATCCTACCTCCTCTGAGAGGAGATAACATGAAAGTATTACATTTCAAGTTTAACCAAGATTTCTAGGTAGAGTTTTCATTTGTTATGTCATAGGCAGATTTTG